ATGACACTCCAAAATCTGCCCAAGTAAACTTTGTGTTTCCAGCTGCATTTTACATGAGTCTTATCAATCTTTAAGTGGGTTTGTCCACGTCACACTGGAACATTCAACTCGGTCTTCACAGCACTGAAACAGATGAAACTATCTGAGAAACTTGAACTAACAGCCCAGGTTCACCCATGAGCGACAGAGTTGGAGGCAAGACAATCTCAGCAAGGGGTCACCAACTGTGCATTATGCTTCTGGATGCAATTTGTCAGAGCCTGAATCTCTTGACCTTCAGGTCACACTGCATGAGCTATTTGTTCTCCCTGACATTTCCTGGGTAATAGGAATAGAATTACTAATAGATTCCTCAGGGGAATACATCAGTTTGGGAGGTATTTAGGGAGTCAAGTTACAGAAAAAGTACATTTCTTTAAAAAAGGAAATAATTTGAGAATAAATGAAGATACGCATCATTTAATTCAAACTGATCCGAAATCTCTATGAAAAACTTGTGTGACCACATATTCCTTTTAAAATTGTATTTAGCCTCTAAGCTAGAAAATACCTTACTGATAGGCACTGTTACACCAGTCTTTAAATATCTTCTCTTTATAGAAATACATTTTTGGAAGCCTTGTGTGCTGTATCTTCTCCATTTAGATAGTCTTTCTATATAATAGAATTAACTCCAGATAAAGTTTGAGGGTAAAGCAGAATTAATATCTTTCTGTATGCAATTTACTCTTCAACTTTTTATCAAGTTGATAAACTTGTAAGAATCTACTGAGAGGACTTTGTCACAAAAATAAAAATATTTTTTCCATTATTAAAAAAACTAAAAAATTCTAAACAGTATTTAATTCCATGAAAATTACTCCGAAAAAGTTCCAATTAGGAAGTTCAGTTCCAACTGAAAGCATCTGCAAAACCCAAACTTAACAGTTCTACCATGTTATAGGAATTTTATCTGAACGAATGAGGGTATATTAATCTATGGTCCTTCAAACTGGATTTGTACTGATGGTCTCCTTGCTAGTTATCTGATGGGTTTTGGGTTTCCTCCTGTGCAGCAATTTACTTCAGTTTAGTCAACTAACTTGCTAGTGTAGAAATGATATGCATATAATTATAAACTGACACTTACAGAGAACAATTATATTAGTATCTCAGGAAGATGCTACAGAGATCCAATGACTATTACTGAATTGTTTAACTGGCAGTTGTGGCTGAGTAGATGGATGAGAAATTGAAATGCAGGTACAGAAGGGAATCACAGAATCATTAAGGTTGGAAAAGACCTCTAAGATCATCCAGTCCAACCATCAACTCATCATCACCATGCCCACGAAACCATAACCCTGAGTGCTACATCTACACGTTTCTTGAACACTTCCAGGAATGGTAACTCCACCATTTCCCTCGGCAGCCTGTTCCAATGTCTGACCACTCTTCTGTAGAAGAATTTTTTTCCTAATACCCAACCTGAACCTCCCCTGGTGCAACTTGAGGCCTCTACCTCTCTTCCTGTTGCTGGTTACCGGGGAGAAGAGACCAACACCCACCTCTCTACACCCTCCTTTCAGGTAGTTATAGAGAGCAATAAGGCCTCGCCTCAGCCTCCTCTTCTTCAGACTAAACAATCCCAGTTCCTTCAGCCACTCCTCATAAGACTTGTGCTCCAGACCCTTCTCCAGCTTTGTTGCCCTTCTTCGGACATGCTCTAGGGTCTCGATGTCTTGTGGTGAGGGGCCCAAAACTGAACACAGTACTCAAGGTGTGGTCTCACCAGTGCCAAGTACAGGGGGATGATCATTTCCTTAGTCCTGCTGGCCACACTATTTCTTATACAAGCCAGGATGCTGTTGGCCGCCTTGACCACCTGGGCACACTGCTGACTC